AGAATTTCCTGGCTTCTGGCTTTGGCTTGGTCCAACCTGAGCTGTTTCGGCCATTTGGGGCGTGATAAAGTGGAGGGAAGATCTCTCTCTGTGTCTCCTCTCTTTCAAATAAATAAATACATCTTAAAGACAAAAAAATGACATTTATTTGAAAGGCAGAGTTACAGAGAGAGAAAAAGAGAAACATAGAGGCTCTGGAGTTGGAGGATCCTCTATCCTCTTACTCACTCCTCATATAGCCACAGCAGCCTTGACTGGGCCAGGCCAAAGCCAATTAGCCTGAACTCCATCTGGGTGTCCCATGTGGGCACAGGGGCCCAAGAACTTGGGCCATCTTTCACTGCTTTCCCAGGTGTATTGAGGCAGGTGGATCAGAAGTGAAGCAGCCAAGACTAGAACCAGCACCCAAATGGTATTCGGCATCACAGGTGATGGATTAACACTCTGTGCCACAGCTCTAGCCCCAAGTTATCTTTTTTTAAATATTCATTTATGTATTTATTTGAAAGGCAGAGTGACAGAGAGAAAGGAAAGACACAGGGAGACATTCCATCCACTGATTCACTCCCCAAATGGCCACAATGGGAGGGGCTAGACCAGGCGGAAATCAAGATCCCAGAACTCCATCTTGGTCTCCCACATGGGTGACAGGAGCCCAAGTACTTGGGCCACTTCTACTGCCTTCTCAGGCACATCAGCAGGAAGCAGGATTGAGGCAGAAAAGCCGTGACCTGAGCCAGCACTCCAATATGGGATGCCAGAGTTGCAGGGGTTGCACCACAATGCCAGCCCTAGTAAAGTTGTTTTTTAAAAAAAGAATCAGTAGCAAATGCTATTGCTTCATATGTGCCCTCAAATCTTAGTGAACAGAGACCAAGTTCTTTCTAGAACGTGCCTGTCAGAGTCTGTTACGTTCCTTGCAGGTCTGGAATGGGCATGCAGATGCAGACATCAGCAAGCATCCAACCAGGAAATGCACTTTTCCCTGCCCCCTCTTCCTGTAGGCATACCCAGTCTCTAGGGGCATCTCTCCCAGAAACTCCTCTATCACTTGGGTTAAGTTAGGGGACTTCCCTCTCTATAATAATTGCCCTTCCCTCAACGATGCTGGCAATTCCCCTCTCTCCTGAGCTGTCTTCCTGTGCCAACCGGGGTGCTCCAAAGCTGCGGGAAAGCTATCAATCGGCAGATGTTTACCTCCAGATGGTATCTGGCCTGCACTTCCCACTGCTGGTGGTGGTGGGGCAACCTCTTGCCCAGCTGGAGGGAGTGAGTCTTGCTGATTGGCAGTTCAGGCCCTGCAAGAGGACACCGTGTTAGTGAGAAGTGGGTAGGGGCAGCTGTGGGCCCAGAAAGCTCCAAGCCACACGTTGAACTAAGTCAACAAATCTTCACTGACTTTTCTCTCGGGGAACTCACGAGCTGGGTCAGCCAGAACTTGAAGTCAGCAGAGTTTCGTCTTGGACTCTTCCCCCACATTCTTCCTCCCTCCCCTGCTCCTCCTCTCAGACTCAGGATTGCTGACATGGGAGATGCAGACAATCTTTTATGTCTGATTTTTTTTTTCCATTGTGAATACAATTTTTAACACACAGTTGCTTATCCTTGACCAAAAACAATTTAAATCTTCAAATAATGCCCATATCATGCCCATTACAGTCAGTTGTAGTGATGCCTACTGTATGCTGAGTCCTATTCTGGATGTTCCAAGAGAAATGGAAGAAGGAGGGGAAACAGTTTTCACAAGGATCCCATCCGAAACTCTAGATGGTTCTCCCGGAGTCATCATCTAAAGGCCATCCTGCCTCTCCATCCCCAGAGACAGACCCCTCACTTCTCACCTGGCATGTAACTCTCCGCCTCCTCTTTGAGACTTGAGCGAGCCTTATAAGAACATCCAAGCTCCTGGCTCCCAGTCGGGCTGGGGTTACATGAAACTCTACAAGCAGATCTTCCAATGAGAATGCTTCTGGGCTCCCAACTTTGCCCAAATGAGCCACAGCAGTCACAGCTCAGACTTCCTTCAGAGGGAGTAAGGACAAGGGCTAGTTATTTATGACAACCTCCTAAGGACTTCCCTCTGCCAACCGGGATATCTGGGAGGGGAGATGGTCATTAAGCCACCCACCTCCCCTGAGCCCTCCCTTGACAAACAAGATCTTTAAGTGGATACTGATGCCAAGAAAGGGGTGAGCTTGGTGGGGGAGAAGGACCAAGAGAAGCCGCCGATAGGTGGACATTGACTCTGGAGCCCACTACATAGCAAGGGCACTGAGATCCAGAGAGGGAATGCGTCCAGGGCGATGTCAGGTGCCCGCCTCCAGCACGGGCTCCTTCCCCACAGCCGCTTTTGCTGTTAGAGGAGATTTCTGTGGAACCCAGAGATTGCTCAGCACTCTGCTTTGAGTAAGCCTGGGGCTGGAAATGTCTTTTTGGAAAATTCTTCCCTGACCTCTCTTGAAGAACTGAGCCGCATGATCAGGGTGAAATGTGCTTTTCTGGAACGGGGCAAGTCAGAGTCTTACTGTGGTTGCAAGGAGCCGCCTGTCAGGAGGTGGGTAACGAAGATGGAGCGGGGGAGAGCCTCACGCCAGCCCCGTGAGGCCGGTTGCACTACATCCAGGTCCTGCATTAGCTAGCTTGGGCCAAACGCATTAACTCCTGCACCAGAGTTGAGCAGCTTTCCCTAGCCAGTAACTGAACTCATGGCTGATTAAATCAGAATGATTTAATAAATAAGCAAGAATATAGATGGAGGCCAAAGTACTACAGTTATAGGTTAGAGCTGGAGACAAACGCATCTTATGACAGAGACTGGGCAGATGCTCAGCAAACCTGCTTCCTCTTCTTCGTGGCCTCAATCTCCTGTTGTGTGTGGCTAACCTGGTTCTAGATCTAGACCACGGAACCACGGAACATGAGTGGGGGTGCTGGTGTACACCATCTCCCAGCAAGATCTGCAAACTCCTCCCACATGTAATTGTCTCTTCCTTTTCCTCATCTGCTGATTGAACGACCCCAAAAGACCCTAGAACTGGATTGTCCCACCTCAGCCTTGTTGGCGTTTGCAGCCAGACAATGCTTTGCTGGAAGCTTCCCTGTGCATTGTAGGACATTTAGCAGCACCTCTGGTCTCTGTGTGTTGGATGCCAGTAGCACCCCCACTCCCCATTTCTGACAACAACAACAACAAAAAAGTCTCCAAACCTTTCCAAAGTCTCCTGTAGGCAAAATCAAAGCCTGCTTGAGAAGTGCTGCTCTGGAACGCAGCGGGGCTGCACGACGAAGATAACCTGGGACCTGAATGCGCGGAACAGAGCACTCTCTCCACGCTGGTCAGTGTTGGGAGCTGAACATGGGCTTCTGTTGCAAGCTGGTTTGGTAGCTGCTTCTTCACTCTTGGTCTGTCCTGACCAACAGTGTGGCTAAATCAGCCCCAGAAGCAGTACTGAGCCAGGGGCCCAGCTTGCCTGCAAGGACGAGACCTGGGAGCCACTACGGAAAGTGTGCTTCTTCCAGGGTGACCGCTCTTAAGATAAAGTAGCACAACGGAGCTCTGTGCCCAGAAATCCTACCCAAATTCACCAGTCAGAAGAGCCACGTATTATCCATGGGGGAGAGAAACATGCAATGTATTTGGTGGGAGAGCCTTCTTCTTAGAAATCCTTCCCCATGAAACCAGGGGGCTCTTTACTGGGGACTCTAGAGCCCACAGACTTCCCAGCACCAAGTGATCTGGCCCCGTGCAGAAAAGGGTCTGTATTTTGCTCAGCATGGAACAAGCCTGCATTCTCCTTTTCTCACGAACTGCTTTATCTCACTGTATTATTTAAGTCAAGGCTCAGCCTTTGGCCAAGCTCAAGGGTTGGTCTATGACAGAAAAACAGAATCGGGCTACAGAAGGGTAAGGCACAGTCTCACCCTGGATTAACTTGTAAATTTTGCCCAGTGCTCCCATCACACAATCCATTTCCTTTCTTCATTGTCCTTTGTATTTCCATTTACCAAATAAGACGGTGATATACTGACTGCTTCCCATAAAGCTGTCAAGGGGATGAAATGAGAGCCCCCGGTCCAGGAGCAGCAGACGAGGAGTGGGTGGGAAATAACTGGCAGGAAGTCAAGCAGTGTGGATCTGCTCTGTCACTGATTAGTTCCAATTGGACAAATCGCTTCTCTCCTGCAGACTTCCGTTTCCTCAACATCAAGTAGTGCGATGGTTTGAATGTGGCCCCACAAAGTCCCTGTGCTGGGAACTCCATCCCCAGTGCAGCAGTGTTGGGCTAGGGCCTAATCAGAAGTGAATGGCTGGTGAGAGCTGTGCCCTCATGAACAGATCAACGTCATTACCATGGGAAGGGTTAGTTAGCTCCAGGGTGGTGTACTGTATAAGCCATCCAACGCTCTCTTATCCTCTATCTCTCTGTCTCTGTCTCTCACTTGTCCTTTGTCCTCCTGCCATGGGACAACACAGCTGGCAGGACAATGTCAAATGACAGCACCACACTCTTGGACTTCTCAACCCCAAGAGCCATGAGCCAAATAAATTTCAGTTTCTGATAAATTAGCCAGTGTGGAGTATTCTGTTGTAGTAGAGACAGCAGACCAAGACAAATAGGAACACTGTACTAAGCTTCTCTTCTGATTTTCTGTTAGCTGCACTGAGATGCAGTAAATCAAGACCCTGTTTATACATCTCCTGGTAACGGTAACCACGTGCTGCTGCTTCCCCCTCCATCTCTGGTGGCGGCTGGCCCATACTTTGGATGCTGGGCTACTTTGTGAAAGTTTCAATGGCTTCCATGGGTCTTCTTAAGCCCAGACTCTCCCCAAACCCCACCCTGTTCTACCAGAGACTAAACTAGATACAGTCTTGGGCCCCTCAAGTTATAATACCCTGAAATTTTAGGAATCTATGATTCTGATGACCTACATCTTTAAGATTCTCAATTCTAGTCCAAATATGTGGGAGCCTAAATTTCTAGAAGACTTGTAAAGTCTGCAATACTAAAGCCACAAAAAGTCTAAGGTCCTAAATGTAACTCGAATTGAGTGAGATTACAAATAGTAATAATTCAGATTTTTTTCAATGGTTCCTGCCTCCAGGGGCTCTGTAGGTTTCTTGCACGGCTTTGTGAACACAGTCAGCTAGCCGGCAGCATCTCTGTGCAGTAGCAGCCCTGCCCTACTGCCCTGCCAGGTCTACCCGTCCACCGCAACCGTCACTTCGCTGCTTCCCATTCCCCCACCGACCCCCACAGCAGTTAGGCAGCTACGTCCACCGGTGACCGAGGCCTGGACTCAAGCTGAGCTCCTCCTCACTTCTTGCTGTTCTCATCCTTCAATCTTCTGGTTCTCCTTACTTCTAAGCTACAGATGGTTTAGATTTCCAAGTGTCTCGCGATGTATCATCTGAATATTTTTAGACATTAATAATCTAGGCTTAAGAGCCTTAGATTCTGAAATACCATGATTCTAAGAAGTGGAAAGTTTCGTTGTGTATCCTACCCTCTCTCAGATGTTCTGGGAAGAGGGAAGTCAGGGAGGCCAGTGCTGGGCAAGGCTGCAGGAGGGAGTACTAGGCCGCAGGTGTGAGTGCAACTGTGTGGAAAGAGCATGGCAGACCCAGGGTGGAAAGAAGAGCAATCAAAGCTCTTTGTTGAATGCCCAGAGCGGTCACACCAAGCAGGCTTCCAGGCCCTGGCAAGTGTTGAGGACCAATTTAACAACCTCCAATCAAGGGTGTTATTTATTTTATAAGTGACTATAAATAGCAAAATAAAACTGAGGGTTTACGTCTGCAAGGAGATCCCTGAGTTATTAAAGCTGCTCCAGGATTGAGGGTGGACCCTCGATCTCTTGTGGGCCTGGTCCCAGCTCCACGCTTCCCAGGGCGCGCAGTTTTGATCCTACCCAACTTGGCTGCAGACCCCTCTGGCTGTGGCGAGTGGTGGGAAGGTGGGATAGGCTTCAGAGCAGTGGAAGTGATTTAGGCATGTGTTGGGAAACTGGGGCCCGGCTCAGATCTCAGGTTTCATAAGAAGCCCTGGGGGCTGGCAGAAATTCTTGGCCAACACATCCAGGAGCCAGGAGCACCATCTGCTTCCAGAAGTAGCAAAGTTCTAGCATGAAGGAAATTGAGGGCAGAAAGATTTTTTTCACTGTTACAGCAGGCCTGGGCCTTCCGTAGCAATGACTCCCATAAGCTTGCAGGTGCCGTGGTGGTGACATTTTGATGAACGCCTTTCTCAGCCATTCTGGTGGTTTCGCTAAGCACCTACCATGTGCCAGTCAACACGGAGGATAACACGGAGTCTTGTTGGTGAAGGTCTCTTAATAGCCACCCATCAGCCTGATCTGCCAGTCGTTAGCATTCTGACTCTGAGAACCTTTTCAGTCTCACGTTCTGGCGCCCTGCCTTGTGAGTCCAGCTGCCTCCCCCAGTGTGCTGTATCACATCAGTACATCTTGGTTTGCACTCTGTTCCCTCAGCAGCAATGATCCCTCCCACTTTTGATACTCACATACTCATCCCCAGGATGTGGCCCAAATTCTGCCTTCTCCTCCTCCAGGAATCCTGCTGTAATGCCCAGAGCTGGGGTTGAGTTGTACTTCCCTTTCTTACTTGAAGCCCCACCTTGTGATGATCCATTTAGATGAAGCCTCTCCATTAGACTGCTCCTAGCACAGGGCCTGAGATGGAATTTTACTTAGGACACTTGCAGACGTGGATGGATGGGGAAAGCACGTCTGAATGGAGTTAGAGGAACCTGTTTGGACCCCGTGAGAGCAAGATTGCATCTAGAACAGCGGGAGAAAGGCTGGAGGGGATTGTGAGAACAGACTGCACTGGATTCCGACCCCGGTGAGTGATCTGGGCTTTGCCCTGCTGCTCCCTCCCTTTGCTAATGGGATGATCACAGGCAGAGTACTCAACCTCATCTTCTTCATCCGTAAAATGTGTGTAGCAGTGCCTGGCACAAAACAAACATCCAAAAGTCACTAACTCCTGTAGTAGTAATAGAAACATTCATGGAATAGTAGTACTTATAGTAGCATCATTGTATAGGTTATGAGGAAAGCAAAGTCTTGCTAACAAGGTTGAAATAATAACGTACAGGAGGGCTTTTTAAAAAACTGTGGAAAATGGGATAAAAAATTAAAATGTAAGCTCTATTTTTCAACATGAGCTCCATCAAAATCAAGCCACTTGTGTAAGCAATGATTCCCATCATTTAATCCATCCCTAAGAACGCTCCATCCCTAAGGAAGCTCCTGGGAACTTAAGCATGTCAAGGCAAAGTGTTTTCCTTGACATGGTTAACTAAAGAAAAATGGGCGTCTTCAAAGATTTTTAAGGATTGGGAAACAAGGAGACGTCAAGGGCTGTAGGATGGATGCTCACGGATTTGCCAGGGAAACACTCATGAAAACGCCCTTGTTTGGTGAGAGGAATGAGCCGGAGCACTGTGGTGGTGAAGGACTCTCCAGGGAAGACTTGCTGGGCACTCCTCTGCCTCAGCTTTGGCTAACTCTCTCAAAACACGCTCCAGAAAGTCAGCAAACGGTAATCCTTCAAGCAGCCCGAGATACTGCCGCTGTGACCTCTGCTCTTGACTAGCCCACGTCTGCTTTGACCTGGCCACGTCGGCCTCTTGTCAGCCACTGTCTTGCTGGTGCTTCGTCCTCAGGATCCTCCTGGTAAAGCCATGTTTGTCTCCTGTTTTAAGTCTTCACAGAAATGCGTCAGAATCCTGATCCCACTTGTTTCCAGTTTCCATTGAGAGCTCCGCTCCTGTCTGCAACTGATCTGGGCACGACAGTGTTGGCAGCCAGTGAGCAGAAAGTCTGTCCAACCTTAGCTTTGCAGATGGCATTGTGCAAGCTGAACCAACTGAGATGTCTGTTGTGTTGGCTATTGTTTCTGTTGTCAGTCATCGGTCCTCTTCAATTAGGGCACGGACAAGATGAATTGCTTTCGCACCAACAGATGTGGACGGTCTACCGCTTCAGGCTTCAGCGTCATCATCCCATCCCTTCTGAGAATGAGTCACCCACTTGTAAACTGCTGGCTTCTTTGGAGGATTTTCCTCTCAAACTTTTGTAAGCCATCGATGATGTCACCATTCTTCTCTCCAAACTTTGCCATCAATCTGGTGTTTGTTCTTGCTTCAGTTTTAATAGGATTCATGTTGCTCTGATAGGAGAGCACTTTTCAAACGGATGTGTTATCTTCTTAATGCCTCAGACTTTATCCTATTCAAGTACATTATAACAAGTTAATGTGAATTTACATTGATGACAAAAATTTGAAATTGTTAATGTGCATTTCCACAAACATTTTGAATACTCTTTATTGTTTGATTTCTAGTGGAAGTCAAGGTTTCCACACTCCTACTTACCAATATTACGCCATTCCAAGGCCTTCATGGACAAGGGCCAGATGCATTGCTGACCCCAAGTAAGAGTAGAGTTCTTGGAGCCAGCATTGTGGGATAGTGGGTAAAAGCTGCTGCTTGCATTGTTGGCATTCCATATGGGCAGCAGTTCAAGTCCAGGCTGCTCTGCTTCCAATCCAGCTTCCTGCTGATGGCCTGAGAAAAGAAGCAGAGGATGACCCAAGTACCTGGGCCCCTGCCACCCACATGGGAGACCTGGAGGAGGCTCCTGGCTCCTGGCTTTGACCTTGCCTAGTGCTGGCCATTGTGGCCATCTGGGGGATTAATCAATAGATGAAAGATCTCCTTTCTCTCTCTCTCTCTCTCTCTCTCTCTGAAACTCTGACTTTCAAATAATTTTTTTTGAAAGAGTAGAGTTCTCATTATGCAAAGAAACACTCAGGTTATTTTTCATGTGACTCGGTCTGTTTTGGATTTAGCATTTTATAGGCACCAGCCCTGAGTCTCCTTGTCTCTTCATGTCTATTTCTCTCTCTCTCACCCCCCTTCTCTCTCCCTCTCTCTCATCTCTCTCTGCTCCCCTCTCCTTCTCTTGACCTGAGAAGAAATGCTTTTATTCCCCTAACTTTCCTTTTCTTGGATTTGTCTTTTTCTTCAGTCTCCGCCCCTCTGTTCTATCTTAAAGATATGGCTGATCACATGTTGCAGGATTAAGAACATCGGGTAGAGAGGAAGAAGGCCTGGGTCCAGTCCTAGATCTTCCCGTGACGTCTCGGTGATCCTGACCAGCCCCCTCCCCTCCCTGAGCCTCAGTGCTTCCTCTTGATGATGAAGACAGCGGTTTGCCCATTCTGATTCTGACGTCTGCACATCTCTGTGGCAATGCTCTCTTCTGTGGAAACTCCTCTGTACCCACAGAAGTCACACGGAGACCCCGGCTTCATTCTTCGTTCCGTCAACAGCTATCGAGCACAGATAATATGCCAGCCATTCTCCTAGGTGCTAGAGATCCCGGGCTGGTGAAGCCAGGCAAGCCGTGTCCTGGAGCACCACACTTCCAAGAGGGTCTGGAGGAAGGTTAGACGAGGGAGTCATTACTTGCCAATAACTGTGACTTAAGAGAGTCGCAAACTGTACTGAAAGCCTCCCACAGGCCAATCAGTGTGCCAGACACACTGGCCAAGGGCATCCCAGTTGATCCCTACAGTCACTTGAGGAGCTAGTTACTGTCATTCCCATTAAAGAAGAGGAAAATCAGCAGGTGCTGTGGCAGAGCAGATAAAGCCTAAAGCCTCCCCCTGAGGTGCCAGCATCCCATATGGGCGCCAGCTCATGTCCCAGCTGCTCCGCTTCCAATCCAGCTCCATGCTAATGGCCTGGGAAAGCAGCAGAAGATGGTCCAAGTGCTTGAGACTCTGCCACCCATGTGGGAGACCTAGAAGAAGCTCCTGGCTCCTGGCTTCAGCCTGGCTCAGCCCTGGCCTCTGCAGCCATCTGGGGAGTGATTCACCGGATAGAATATTCTCTCTCTCTCTCTCTCTCTCTAACTCGTTCAAATACATAAATAAAAATCTGTTTTTTAAAGATTTATTTATTTATTGCTTGAGAGTCAGAGTTACACAGAGAGAGGAGAAGCAGAGAGAGAGGTCTTCCATCGGATAGTTTACTCCCCAATTGGCCGCAATAGGCAGAGCTGTGCCGATCTGAAGCCAGGAGCCAGGAGCTTCTTCTGGGTCTCCCACACGGTGCAGGGGCCCAAGGACTTGGGCCATCTTCTACTGCTTTCCCAGGCCATAGCAGAGAGCTGGATTGGATGTGGAGCAGCCAGGACTAGAACCGGTGCCCATATGGGATGCCACGCTTCAGGCCAGGGCGTTAACCCACTGCGCCACAGTGCTGGCCCCAATAAAAATCTTTTAAAAAGAGAGGAAACTGAAGCTAAGAGATGATGAGTAGCCTAATCAATGTCAACCTGCTAGCGGTGATGGAAACAATTCCAGTCCCACTACTGGTGTCCTCTCCACATGCGTACACCCCTCTATCTTTCTTGATCCTGAACTTGGAGGCCTGGGCACATCAGAAAAGCAAATCCCATAAGCACACTTCCTCAGGAAGAGCCCTCAAGTCAACCCCTCCAGCCTTGCCCGGGTTTCTTGGGGGCACCAACGCTCCAGGCCACTGCAGCTCGCTGTGTCTGTCCGACTGTCTCAGCAGGGAGAGCTGGGAGATTTGTCTGGATTCTGCCCTCCTGACCCATAGCCCTATAAAACAGCGAGCAGGAAAAAGGGGGGACAAAACCAAAAAGTAAACACCGATGAAGATTAAAAGTGACTGGGGAGTCTTGGGGATTTATGTCTCATGAAGTGAGATGGCCAAGGAGGCCAGACAGAGAGCAGACAGCCCTGACGCCTTCGCCTTGTGGATAATTTATCCCAGAACGGAGAGGGGATCTGTTTGCAACTCATATGGGCCGGGGTAGTTCTCTGGGTCCCCCAGGCCACTCTCTGAGGAGGCCCGGGCTGCTCCAGGACGTTTGCTTCCCCAAACCAAATGCACATATTTAATACTTTTTCATTCCTTTCTAATATATGTCATGCCAGAGGGTCCCCTTGCACCCCGGTGAGGCTGATGGGACAGGGGCAGTGGGTAACTGATCCAGGGTCACCTGGCAGGTCTGGGGCATGAGCCGTCGTTCTTTGGTGCCACAGCTCCCACAGGTACACATCCCCTCCTTCTCTTTCTTCTTCCTCAACTGCTAACCCACCCTCAAATTAACTTTGGCCAATGGATTAATTAAACTAACCTCTGTGCTTGAACAGCATTTACTAAGAACTGTTGCAAACACAGAGATGAATAAGATAGAGGCTAAACACAACACTTTTTTTTCTTTTTTCTTTTTTTCTTTTTTGACAGGCAGAGTGGACAGTGAGAGAGAGAGAGACAGAGAGAAAGGTCTTCCTTTACCGTTGGTTCACCCTCCAATGGCCGCCGTGGCTGGTGCACCGCGCTGATCCGATGGCAGGAGCCAGGTACTTCTCCTGGTCTCCCATGGGGTGCAGGGCCCAAGCACTTGGGCCATCCTCCACTGCACTCCCAGGCCACAGCAGAGGGCTGGCCTGGAAGAGGGGCAACCAGGACAGAATCCGGCGCCCTGACCAGGACTAGAACCTGGTGTGCCGGCGCCGCAAGGCAGAGGATTAGCCTAGTGAGCCGTGGCGCCGGCTGATAAAACACAACACTTTTTAACTACAGGTTGGGAGTGATAAGAAAGGCCATGTTAATTTAGAGTCTCTCTTCAACACAATAATGAGCAGAACTAACACAGCAGAAAAACACATAAGTAAGAGCTTTGGAGGGGAACTGGGAAAAGAAATCAATGCCCAGGTCAAGCACAAGAGTATGGTTCTTTCAAAGTGACTCCCTGGGCATTGAGGAAGCGCGTGTCCTGGCTGACATCCCAGCAGATGGGTTCACGGTAGGAACCTGCTGTGATGACAAGCCTCTGGGGATCAGGCTGATTTTGATGCTGATGCTCTGGGTTAGGCCCGCAAACAGCATGGCTTCCTCCAGCTGCTACATTGGGGATGCCTCTGTCTCCTCAGTTGAATCCAAAGAACTTGAGTTTTGGAGTCTGATTAACCTGGTTTTCAACCCCAAATAGTTGTGTACTTAGAGTTAGCTTCTTACCCTCTCTAAACCTGTTTTCTCATCCACTAAGTAGAGATAGCAATATCTGCCTCGAAGTTTTGCCTTGAAAACAAATCTAAAGGGAATCTTAAAATTTAACTACATTAGCCCAGATTTCGTGTGAGGTCCCAAGATAACGGATAACACATCCCCAAGTGCAATCAAGACCACCATGCGAAGACTGCAATAGGTGGTGTTGAAAAGTGCTTTGGTAGCTCTTTGCTGACCACCCACCTCTGTGATATAAAAGAGGCGGGAGAGGTGGGAGTGGGGATTAGAAGGAGGTTTCTGGAAAGAGTTGCAAGTACATTGTGCATCTCTGTCTACTCCCTCCCTTAACTCAAGTGTGGGGAAAATGCCGTTAATGGGATCATTGGACAACTTGACATTCCCCCTCCCCACTCCCGGTATTGGAGGAAAATGGTGGCCTGGAATCTAACTCCCACTGCTAAATATAAAGTCAAGGAGTTTGCTGCACCGAGGTCAACGTGCCTTCTCAGAGTTTATCAAGGCAGCAAATGCATAAGTGTTTTCTCAAAGCCAGCTCGGGAGCACACGAGCAGAAGATGGTCTCGGTCATACTGGAGCTGTCAGGGGGCCAACTCGTGGGACCAAAAACCCAGCAGGAAGAGGCAAGGTGATGTTGGCAGATGCCGAGGGCTGGCGAGGAGTCCAAAGCAGCCAACCAAAATAGAAATGCATTTACCCACATCAAGAGGTTACCTGGATGGGGGTGGGGAGCTGTTCTCCAAAGACTTCACAAGAACACTCATGGAAAGAGCAAGGTTAAATATCTGCCACGCTCAGACAAGCCCTGGATCTCCCAGTCTATACGGTCAAGTAAAACTCTGCTGCCTCCTTTCCTTCTCTCTCTCCTCCTGTCCCTGGCCAGGGCAAGATCAAAGACCCATGTTCCTTAGCGAGAGGTAGGAGAAGCAGATGTGCTCGGTAAAAAAGAGAAGGAAGAAACTGAGCCCTGTTTTCACTGCAGGAGACTCCCCAGCTGCTGTTCCAAACCCAAGTGGGTAGAGAGGAAAAACAGTGCTTTTAAATAGAGTCTGAAGTAGATTACCGCTATTATCACTAATAGCAGTGCTATGGTTTGCATGTGCCCACCCCAACCGTGTCTTGGAAACTGAATCTACAACGCAACAGCATTGGGAGGTGGGGCCTAATGAGAGGTGATTAGGCCAGGGGGGATGAAGGCTGATTATCAAAGGGCAGGAGGCTGTAAGTTCCACCTCTCGCCCTCCCGCGCCCTCTCTTTACCTTTCCACTGTGGAATGACACAGAAAGAAGGCACTCATCAGATGCTGCTCCACACACACACACACACACACACACACATACACACACACCCTGATCTCAGACCTCCCAGCCTCTATCACTGTCAGAAATACATTTCTGGTCTTTGTAATTTACCCAGTCCCAGGCATTCTATTATCGCAGCACAAAAAGTTGTAACAGTACCAAAAACCAGTAACTGGACCCAAAAAGTTGTAACAGTAGTATCCTGGGAAAGACATGTTAATTATTGAGGAGAAGCAATGTTTTGTGATTTGAAGTCAACGGGACCTTCCTCTTACCATGAAGAAAACAGCAGAGTCGTGGAACAAGTTCTCACGAAATGGACAGGAGTGACTCGGCCCTGCAGAACGGGGAAGTCGTCTCGCTCGTGTCACACCGTTGAGCTTGTTTCCACACTTTCTCTGGACCTGGCTGGCGAGCAGTGGGCAAGGCCAGTCAGCTAAGACTCCTTTGAGAAGCTGCTGTGTGTCTCTGTTCCATGCTCCAGTCCAGGGATAGAGATCAGAGAAGATGCAGTCTTAGCCCTCGGCCAACACACAGTTCCCAGGATTGGAAAGCCCTTTAGAGATACCCAGCTGTGACAGAGCTGCCCAGCTCCACTGTGGGACCAGCTATGGGGCCTGTCTTTCTTTCCCTTCTTCAGTACCTGCCTCACTCCACACTGCCTCCTGCGTGAAATCCAATAAGGGCAGAATCAGTGCTAGGCTGGTTAGTCTGATGGCTTCTACCATTTATGGAGCCTGTGCGATGTGTCAGATTCCTTAGATATTCTGGTCCTCTTTCTAGCGGTAACTTGCCAACGAGAAGTATCAATAGCTTTTTCTCAGATGAGAAAACTAAGACCCATGAGGTTAAGTGACTTGTCCGTAGCCACATGGCCTTCAAGGGGCAAAGCTGGGATTCAAAGCAGCCAGTGTTAGTCCAAAGCAGTGGTCTTGTCATACCACATCATCATCTCTCCTGAGGGCTCCTGGAATCAGAAGAGACAGGCTCCAGTGGGGCTGTGCTCAGAGCTGGGCCAAAGCCCTGGAGGGAGCCCCTCGCCCCCCACAGTGCCATCCTTATGGAAAAGAGGCAATGCATGGGGTCGGCACTGTGACACAAGTGGGTTAATGCCCTGGCCTGTAGCGCCAGCATCCCACATGGGTGCCGGTTCTAGTCCCGGCTGCTCCTCTTCTGATCCAGCTCTCTGCTGTGACCTGGGAAAGCAGTAGAAGATGGCCCAAGTCCTTGGGCCCCTGCACCCACAAGGGAGACCCAGAAGAAGCTTCTGGCTCCTGGCTTCAGATCGGCTCAGCTCCAATCGTTGCAGCCAATTGGGGAGTGAACCAGCTGATGGAAGACATCTCTCTCTCTCTCTCTCTCTCTCTGTCTCTGTCTCTACCTCTCTCTGTAACTCTGTCTTTCAAATAAATAAAATAAACCTTTAAAAAAGAAAAGAGGCAGTACAGACTGACCCGCACGCAGACTCCCCCGCCGCCCCACAGCCAAAGCAACTGGAATAGGCTTGCGCTTCACCAGTTCCTTCCAGGGAACAAAAAGTGACGCAACCCTGAACAATCACAGAACAGTGTGAATAACGTTTTAATTAGTTGGCAAATTATATGGCCAGAGGGGCTGCACTCTGTTCTCTGAAGCAGATATTAACTTTATTAACTTTTCTTTTCCCTTTTGCAAGTTCTTTGCAAAGGTGGGTGAGTGTGAGTGCAGTAAGTTCGCATTTCATTTGGCAGGAATCTTGGCTGGGTTTTACAAGGAAAACTTACTTTTAGATTTTTCTTCTGACGGTGAACTTGGCTTCCCTCACTCCCTGCTGAAACCCTATTCTTTGCAGGCGGAAACAGGGGATCAAAAAATGAGATAAAGAAAGAAATAAATTAGCGGGGTGGGGGGGGACAACTGGAGACTAAATAATCCTCTTAAAACAGTCGCTGGGAGAGGCACTGGAGCGTCCTGGACGGGGCTGTGCGGGTGCTGCCGGGGGATTCACTGGCTGGCTGGTCTTCTGACCGCGGACAGATGGGCTAACCTTCCAGAGCGCTGTCAGTGCCACTGGGAGGTTTCCTCCTGCTCAGAGGCCCGCGCAGGTCTGCTGCGTGGAGCTGGTGGGATATCATCTGAGAAAGCGACTTCATCTTACAGAGCACTGTCAAGACGCCAGGCTATGGAGTTATCCCTGACACTTGGACCAAGAACCTCTGGTGTCCCTGGGGCCAAACCTGACTCTAAGGAATCCTTCAATGGGACATTGAGCAAAGGATCTACCTTCATTCAGCTTCCTGAAGGGACCCCAAGAGATCTAAAATGTGGGAATGTGGGTGGGCCTGAGCGTGCGGGACGCATCTAACACACATCGGCAGGCACTTGGGCCTCGCGGGCGTGCCTCTCATTGCTTGTACACATGCGTGTCGCCTAGCGATATGGCTGGGGACTCGGTGGTGAGCAGGACAGACCAGGATGTCTGCATGTGTGTGAAAAAGTACATGAAGGAGTACTTGTGTGTGTGTGTGTGTGAGAGAGAGAGAGAGAGGATGTGTGGTGAAAGTGTATGTCCCCGCGTATGAGGAGGTGTGCACTGTGCAACAGTTTGCAGGTGAGTGGGAATCTGTGTGTCCATGTGTCTATGTGTGTATGGAGACAGACAAAAAGAGAACAAATTTCTGATCCCCCCGAGGACATCAGGTTTTTGTTAAAAATGCCTTAAAGCTGAAACAGTCTTAGTCCATTTGAGCCGCTGCTGTAGTAAAACCTCACAGGCTGGATAATTTACAAAGGACAGAAATGTATTGCTTCCAGTTCTGGAGGCTGGGAAGTGGGGGATCAAGGTGCCAGCACAGTGTCTGGTGAGGACTTCTCTCTGCGTCCAAGATGTCCAGGTTGTTGTGTCCTCCCTGGAGGAGGACGGAAGGACAAGAGAGTGCTCCTGTCAACTGCAAGTCCTTTCATAAAGATGCTAATCCCACTGATACATACTCATGGTCTAATCACCTCCCAGAGGTAACACCTCTTAACACGCTCGCACTGGGGATTAAGTTTCAACATGAATTTAAGAGCGTATGCCATCACTCAAACCATAGCAGGCCCTGAGGTATCATCTGTTCCAGTCCTTGACATCCAAACAGGAAATCTAAGGCTCAGAGACCGGGAGCAACACGTAGAAGGTGAGCCAACAGCCAAACAAGAGGGAGAACACTGTACCCTGCAGCTCAGTTCTCAATAGCTAACATGGAATCAAACCAAATGGCTGTCAACCAAGACTGGATAAAGATGGAATACTACACAACAGTAAAAAAAAAAAATCCTGTCATTTGCAACAAAATAGATGCAACTGGAAAACATTATACTTAGTGAAATAAGCCAGTCCCAAAAGGACAAATACCGTATGTTTTCCCTGATCTGTATTAACTAATAGAGCACCTGAAAGGTAATCTAGAGAAGTGGAATTGACACTTTGAGATGCAATGACTTTTTTTTAAAGATTTATTTTTATTTATTTGAAAGACAGAGTTACAGAGAGGGGTAGAACTAGAGATAGAGAGAGAGAGGTCTTTCATCCGCTGGTTCATTCCCCAAATGACCACAACACCCAGAGCTGAGCCAATCCAAAGCCAGGAGCAAGGAACTTCTTCAGGGTCTCCCACATGGGTGCAGGGGCCCAAGGACTTGGGCCATCTTCCACTGCTTTCCCAGGCCACAGCAGAGAGCTGGATCGGAAGTGGAGCATCCAGGACTCGAACTGGCGCCCATATGGGATGCCAGCACTGTGAGGAGAGATCTGTGGGGCAGCAGGTATAACAGCCCAGGGAGAGGGGACCAGGCTTGAATTAAGGAGTGAGAAGAAAGGAGGGAATGAGCATTTTTTCAATGCTCCTAGCCTGCAATCAGTGGCTTTCACATTCATTAGAAAGAGGAGAGCAAGCTCATTTAAAAAAAAAAAAATCTTGCACACAATGAAGCAGTTTCCCCCCCCCAAACCTAGTAAGAGCCTGGGAGTTTTTACAAGCATCTCTTAAAACCTACCCACAGCCCTGGAGGGGGGCGTTATTTTCCTCACATCACTAACGAGACAGCTATGGCTCAGAGTGAGAGATCACTGCCCAGCGACCCACAGCCTGACTCCGGCGGGTCTGAAGCCAGACTGCTCTTATTTGCTTCAACCTGGGTAAGTCAATGATCACTAGGAAAGCTTTGCTTTGTGCCAGGGACTGTGCTTGGCTCACAGTTCTGCATCTCCGCCTTGCCATGACCATCTCTGCAGTTTTCAGATGAGGAAGATGAGATTCAGAGGTGTTAAGTAATTTGGCCAAGGATACACATCTGGTTCTCTTGTTCCTGAACCCAAGTCCCCTGATTTCAACACCCATCGTTTTTGACAACTCTGCATTTCCAGACAGAATCAGCACAAATATGTTTACGGCATAGCTTAGGATGACAAGAATTGGAATAGCCTATCTCTGGAGAAGGTAGGATTTAGATTATATGCTCAAAAAAGTGCTGTCGGGCCAGCTCTGTGCGTACAGTGAAGCTGCCACCTGCAGTGCCAGTGGGCACCAGTTCGAGTCCTGGCTGCTCCACTTCCAATCCAGCTCTCTGCTATGGCCTGGGAAAGCAGTAGAAGATGACCCAAGTCCTTGGGCTCCTGCACCCACATGGGAGACCTAGAAGAAGTTCCTGGCTCCTGGCCATTGCAGCCAATTGGGGAATGAACCAGCAGACAGCAGACCTCTCTCTCTTTCTCTCTCTCTGCCTCTCCTCTCTCTGTGTAACTTTGACTTTCAAATAAATAAATAAATAACCTTTTAAAAGAGAGAGAGAGAGAGAGCGACTGGATGACAAGCCATACTGGGGAGTAGAGTCTCATTTCTAGTTATCAAAAACTACATAAAAGAAGTCAGATTGGGCCTCCCAAAACCCACAGCCTACTTCCCTCAGGGACAGAGCAACCGAGTCTCCACTGGGCTCCTGAGAACAGCTACGCAGGGCTGGGGGCTGGAGGTTGAGACATCTTGGGCTCACCAAGACCTGGTCTGCATGGGTCCTCCCAGCCCCCCGTATCCATTGGAGATGCAGCGTGCTTTCTCTTTGGCAACAGGAGGCTGGGCCTTTGCCACAGTGCCAGCCTGGTTCCTCTCACCCTGCCGGCACGGAGGTCTTTCCCACTGCACATCAGACCCACTCCATCGGATCCTGAGCCCCTGGCATCTAACACGGGGGTGACAAGGAGCTCTCCCAGCAGCGGGCAGGATCTAGGATGTTTCTTGTTTTCTACGCCACAGCAAGTTCAACTGCACTGAGACTCCCCAGCCCTACTACTCTTTCTAGATGTCGCCTGCCCTCTTCTTCATGTCTGTTTCCTCTAACTGTTGACTGAAGACTGACTATCAACCAGGCAGGACATTCAGAGCCTGAATTCCAGGACTGCCATATCCGGCCAGGATTCCCACCGCCAGCCCCATGCCTTGGAAGAGGCAGCAGAACCAATGGGCGTGAGCACCCCACCCACGTTTTGAACTTTGAGCTCCAAAACTGATCACTCACAGCCTGAGACCATGCCAGCTGCAAAACCGCCTTCCTCTTCTCCATGGGTTTTTCTGCCAGCAACGCCATATCCTTTGGTTGACCTTACCCAGTCCACCAGACTCGCACTGGCTGCTTCTGGCTTTTTGCTTGCCCCACCCCAGTCCCCAGAACTGATTCCTGGCCCAACTTGAAAGGCCTCTCAGACTGAGCGAAAGCAATCTTCTGCCCCTAGTGCATTGACATCAAGACCCCATGGGTACCTCCTTCCTGGCCAGACATCGCCCTCTGAGCCCAGTGAGGGTGGAGCTCACCATCCTCATCAAGATCTCCCAACTCCACAAACCACAGTTGTCAGAACACACACCCGAGGAAGTGGTCGGGAAGCAACCAGTTGTCGGAATAATTTACTGTCCTTGGAAGTTGGCCAACTAGATGCTGGCCGTGCAGACGCTGGGAAAATATTTATGTGGGTCCTGATGGAGGCTTGGCCAGGAAAGACTGCCTGCTGTCATCTTTTCTTCCTGCTGATAAGGCAAAGCTACACATGTGAGACAGCTCTTAGAAGGCCTGGCATCTGATAAGAGTGAGGTGAAAGGCTGCAGCCTTCCGCTCCAATGCTGTCTGCTACCACGGAGTTTCACCCTTCCCCGGCCCTCTGGTCCTCCATCTGTAACACCATGCAGTAGACCAGATGACCTCAAGGGCTCTGTGATCCTGTGAGATTGTGACTCAGACAGAGGCGAATGAATTTTCCAGATCTGCCATCATGATGCCATTGGTTCATCCCAGAGCTATTTTTCTTGGCACCCTAGAAACGTTCCTGAAATTCCAGCATCCTAGGATTTCTCTTTCCACTGATCCAGTTTCTGTAACCAGATGAGAGAACTCCATCTGGAGGAGGAAACCTTGAGCTTAAAATAAAAGGGTGAAATGGAAGAGGGGAAATTGAGTTCAAGCGGGCTTTATCCTGCATCCAGCATTTGGGAAGCTCGAAGCTGAGCCCCCAGAGGCAGTGATGTGTCCCCATGTCCTGTCCTCCGAGCCACACTGAGACCCAGCCCTGACCTCCAAGAGCCCACAGAGAGGCAGCGGCGAGGGTGGTTATCTTATTCCCAATGGCTCCCTGTGTTTCCTCCTTGCTGTAAACCCCTGGACCTCTGCCTGCTGCACTACTCGGCTCTGGAATTTTGTCCTTGTCCTTGATCATCCTGGGCCCCCCTCTGGGAAGACGTTCCCAGCCTCCAGTCCCTGGGGGCAACTTGACCTCACAAGTCCCTCTCCACTTCAGAGTCGCTAGCCAGTCCCTCTGAAAGCCCACCTGTGCGACAGGAACAAATAAGGACGCGAGACAAAGGACAAAGGCTCGGGGACTCACAGAGTTTTCTAACATCGTCTCTCCTCCGGGGCTTCCGGTGCCTTCTCTGAGGTGCTGAGTGGCGTCCCACAACCTCTGTCTTTCGCAGCTTCCTGAGCCGGGAGCTCCCGCAGTCTCCCTCCTCCCTCATCTCCCTAGGAAGGTTCCGATCCCGATCGGGAGGTGGCCACTGAGAAATACAGCTGCTGTGTGATGGAATTCGATGGGCATTTTCCCAAGAAAGCAATCAGGGAAGCCTGGGTGCGGACATCATCTTGGTTTATTTCTTCTGAAGCATTATTCCGTGAAGGTTCGTGTTCTCCATTCAAACAGACTCGCACTGAGCATCTCTTCTTGGACAAACACTGTACAAGGCATGAGGGATCCAACAGGCAAAACACAAGCCCTGCCCTCTCCACCGCCCCCAGGCTTGGGGGCCTCAAACCCTGGCTGAGACATGAGCAAACCCAGCTCTCGCCCTCCTGAACCTCGCTTGTCCCCTCATCCCCGCTTTCTCCTGGTCCCCTGCCCAGCTCGGAAAAAGGTGGCCTTCCAGGGACCCAGAGCTGGAGAGGCCCTTAGAAAGCAGGCACGCTAGGAAGTTACTGAGAAGGGGGCTGAGAGTGGCCTCCATCTGGAAGGCCACGCCCCGGAGGGGAGGACCACGTGACTGAGGATGCGACAGCAGAGCCTTGTGATCTGACAGTTGAGGGGACAGCCAGAGAGAGGTCCTCGTGGCCTCGGGCAGGATGCCCTACCATTGACTGTAAGTATCGCTCACCATCACACAGGAACTCTCCAACAGGCTTTGCTAAATTCCCGCTGTTCAAACAAGGAAACAGACTGAGAAAGGTGAAATCACATCCGATCTCACCCAGCTTTGAAGTGGTTGAGCATAAATTCATACCCAGACCTGTCGGATTCCACAGTCATTTTGTCCAGAATCCAGGTATTTGTCTGCTTTTAAAACAGCCGTGCCAAGGATCCCATGACCAATACCGTCGTTGTTGTAATTAGCCAGGATAAGAATGCCAGGTCTCCCAGGGAGGTTGCACTGTAATTGTCTTTATTCATTCAAGAAGAAAAAGAGCCAAAACCCAAACAATATGCTTTGGCACCTTGGTAGTAAAAGCTGCAACAAGCCAGGAGAAGCCAGGCAAAGTAACAAGTAACTTCCTCAGAGACTGCCACAGGGAATCAGGAGGGCTTCTCGGGAGAGGCCGGCCGAGTAGGGCCTTGATGGGTGAGTGGGAAATCACCCGGAGGGAAGGGCAGCAGCTCCCGTGGAACAAGCCGGGGGCTGTCGGAGCTCAGCAAGAGCTGGGGGAAAGGCAGGAGACGCCTCTGAGGAGGAAGGCGGGGCCACAGGGCCTCATGCAGAGAAAGGGGTCTTTATATTTAAGGCCCCACGGATCATAAACACTCTATTTTTATTTTAATTTTCCTTTCTTTATCTGAAAGGCAGAAAGACAGGGCAGGCATTTGGCACAGTAGCTAAGCTGCCCCCTCGGGACACCTGCACCCCATGTCAGTGTGCCCGGGTCCCACTTCCAATTCC